TCTATAATATTTGTGTTTCTGATTTTTATGTTTGCAAATTGCTTAAAAGTTAAAAATGCATACACTTAAATTAGAGCCAATGTCGTTTCTTAGGCATCGTGTGAACTTCTGAAGATTCTAAAATAGGCTTAACTCTTTAGTAGTTATAATACTACTACTAGTGATACCATTACCACACTCAATTACAACTAAAAGTGAGAGAGAGAGAGAAAGAAGAAAAAAGAAATCAGAATTAAACTAAGAAAAATTAAAAACATTTATATAGTATTATCATTAATACTAAATACTTAACGAACAGTTTAATGGATTGGTGCAACATAACTTAAACTAAAAGTTAAAATTTAAATAGACCTACACGGGTCTTTGTCTTTATAACTTCTAAAAATATAACTTTTATAAGTTCTGTGTTAAAAATAATGAAAAACATTCAAAAAAAAAGGGGGGGGTGCCATGAACTAAAACTTGAAGAAAAGCCAGAATATTAAAGAAGGGGGGGGTCAGAAGTCAAAGAAAATTAGTGGGTCTTCCCCCCCTCCCCATGTTGTATCTTAAATTCAGCATGTGCATACAAACCAAACTGTTTAATCATACCATTTATTCAAATTATTGGTCTGTTTTCTTAGAGTCTTGGTCAGTAATTTTAATTATTGGGCAGTAATTATATAGCTATACATAATAATAAGTTAGGTCAAACAGAAGATTGTAATTTTATTAGGTACCATGAAGTTGTTGGTGTTTGAAGATATTTTCTATAATACCATAGTTTGATGTATTTTCTCAAATTTTTGTTACCATTTATAACCAGTTTACCAGATAAAGTGGTGTTAAATTATGTAGAATTATGAAGAAAAAAATTTAAATATTAGTGAGTTGAACACTCACATATGAAAGATCTGGAATTTCACTAGGAACATTGAGAAATTTTTTGCAAAGAATCTGACCATCCTGATCTATAGACTGTTGCCTTACAGTCTGTGGGAAGGATTTCTGGTCTTAATTAATGTAAATAGCCTTGGTGAAACTGTATATTACTACATTTCTACTGATAACCTGCAGATTTCTGCCTATGCAAGTAACAGCTTATCATAGAAAATGCTAAATATATTAGTTTTATTTTATTAGCTCATATAATTCAGAGTTGGCATGTTTTAAACTTACCTAATAGTTGTTTGGATTTCTGTATTTTTTAAAGTTACTCATTAATAGAGAAAAGCTACACTACAAAATAGATTAATCAATTAATCAACAGTCCCATTAATCAGTTACATTTGATTAATTGATTAGCTCAGTGTTCTTCAAACCATGGTACATACAAGCAAAACAAAACAAAACTTTGGTAGTGGGTAGTACCAGCCAGTTTCCTTCCCTCTAGTAAGCACTTAAAAAACAACAACATTAACCTGCGCTAAGACTTGTGCTATTAGATTGAAAAAGGCAATGACTTGACAAAGTTTAATCAAATTACTAAGAACTAAGAAAAAAGAGATTGAGTGCTTTTATCCATACTTGGGAAGTACTTGAAACTATGGATGAGTGGAGATTTAAGAAGAAAAACCTGAGAAAGTACAGGCCTGCCAGGGGTCATCTAGAAATGCATTTTTGTAAACTTGCCTTTTTTGATATAAGTAATACAGAAACTGTAATGACATATAAACAAAACAACTGTGAACTCAAGAGAATTGAACAAGTCATTTTTATTTGCTCGGTGTTTTGGCCTCAAAGGTCTTAATTTGACTGATAGAATTCGTGACAGAAACTGTATGTTCTGATAAAGCTGAAATGCTGAGCAAGTAAAACAATCTGTAAGCTTCTCGGGAGTTCACATTCCTTTCTAATTATGTGTATTATATTCCATTCAGCATTACGTGTTAGTGGTTTATTCTGAAGGTAAGTGACATGTTTAACATTTGGTAAAAACAGTCTAGGCTCAGGTTAAGACAGTTATTTTCTAGTTTATGAATCGGTTGCCATCCACGGAGACCAAGCATATTATAAGAGTTTAACGGAGTAATCAATGATTTCTGAAAATTAAATGGATGAATTAAAATTCTTACTTTTCTTGAGAATGGATGTGTAAGGACAACCTTGAATGACCAAATGGTCCTTTCGTATATTATGATTAAATATATATTAATATATGATAGCTTTCTTGTATAACTGGTGGACAAATTAAAGCATGGATAGAAAGTTGACTTGGTGGTACTTGTACAAAGTAAAAAGTGGTAATAAGCAAGAATTATTTTTTATTAGGAGAGCTTGTCAGTTTGTTTCCTTGAAGTGCCTGTTTTGAAGCTATTATAGTTTATTATTTATATGAAGCATTTGGATAATTTCTTGAATTGTAATATTTTTACTATGAACCGGGGAAGTGCTAATACCGTTATATATTTTTTTCAATGGTGTGTTTAGCAGTTT